GTCAAGCATGGAAATATGTGGAAATATTCTGCTGCAGAAGGTCAAGATTTCATGGTCTTGTGGTGTCCTAAAAACGTTTTTATTAGCGAAGTAGTGGACGTAAAGTTTATTCCGCAAGAAATAGTCACATACATTTACCTTTATGATAAGAAGTGTAACAATAGCTCTTTTTTAAAAAAAAACATCAGTGCATTGTAATTTCTTCATGGTACTAGCTTACTGCTTTGGCTCATTGACTGTTTGACCTTCCTCTCAGGTGTAATTGTGTAATTGTCTTGTAGCTACCTTCAGCTGAGTTGTATTGAATTCAGAGGAGTAACTGAAATAAGAATGCATGTTGAGTGGGAGGATATTCATAATGTGAGCAATTCAGTAAATCATTCTCCAGCCTTATGCTTTCATAAAGTACTTTGAAGGGCATGGCGGAAGCATCAAACAGATTACACAGAATAGAGGTCTATTTCAATCCTTTTAATTGTATTTATTAAAAAGAAAAAATACCTTAATTTGCATATTTTAGCAAACAGTTTGCCAGAACAGAGTGATTTTCACACACAAATGTACTACAGCAACACATCTCAACACCTTCTTAGATGTGGTTCTTGATCACATTGGGGCAGTGCAACTGCCTGTAACTAATGATCAGCCTCCTCCGATGGAGCTCCTGCCGAGCTACCCGCCACTAGATGGCAGTGAAGCACTGTGTCAGGCGTGTGCCTCGCCATTATGCCTTTGCTTTTTGTCGCTGTTGGTTGGTCCTATCTTATCTGTTCTCAGATCCTTCTTTCCTATTGTAGCACGGGAAGATAAAACCTGCCAGTGCAGACCGGTATCGTTTAGGGATCTGTTGCTGCTGACAGCACGTGGATAGTTAGAGCAGAGATAGAGAAAGTGAGAGAGGGGGAGAGAGGAGGAAAGTGAGAGGTGAGGGCGAAGAGAGGAGAGCAGAGGAGCGATAGAAGAGAGGGGGAGCAGCAGAGTAATTGGCCTGAGACGGGCAGCTAATGCAGCCTCATCTTCATTGTGTTCTTTCTCCGAGCACTACTTCTCCTCCCCCCTTCTTTCCTGTCTGTTAGCCCCATACACCTCGATTTCAGCCACACTCTCCACTCCCCTCCCCTTGACTCTCTCCTTTAACACACTCTTTCAAAGCACTTTCTGTCCTCTTTCACCTTCTCAAGTTCCTTGTCCCTTCCGTCCCACACTTTCCTTTCTGGCCATTGCATATGCAGCACCACTTGGTTTGTCTTCATCTGACACCTCTAGGGAATGAGCATCAGGGATGAGCACCTAGAGGTTGAAGGGCAAGAGAGCTCCCACAGGGACTTCTGTTCAGTTTTGACCTCTCTGTGCTTTGTGGCTGTCTGGGGGCTGTGAAAGGGCTCAACATGTTCACAGCAAATGCTCTTTATCATTTAATGTAGATGTCTTGTCACTATGAGTTATTTTGTTATTAATTTAGTTAACAATCATCTCTCTGTATTCTAAAGCACAAAACTATACTGGCCTGATTCTGGGTCAAGCAGCCGTCTTTGGAGCTAAAGCTTTCACTACAGCGGCTCAAATGGTTTACCCTGTAAACTAGCATCTAGCACTAGCAGGCAACATGAATACAGTTGTGTGTTCTGTGACGCAAGAGCGACACTAAAGCTCTGCAAATAAATGAGGTGACACGTTCAGTGATTACGCTTTATGGCATAGATTTATTGCACCAAACATCTCATTCTCTCTTCTTTATCCACCTCGCTATAAAGCTTGCGTTTACATCCATGGACCCCAAACATCAAACTGCGAGATACATTTACAACATGAAATGACCATAATCTGGTTTGTTACGAGTGTACTGTACATTAGGTTATTTTATGGTAACAATAACCTACAGCCTTGACCAACACTAACACGCTACAACCCGCCTTGGCTGCAAACAGCCAAGTGATGCTGTTTGACAAGTGATTTGTGATCTGTATATGTATTAACATTTGGAAGGTAGATTCCTTAGGTGCCAATAGGTACAATTTACTTGGTTCATTTATTTATCATTGTACAACACAGGGTTGTATAACTACAATATATAGTTGTAGTCCCTCAATGCTAGTAACATCGCTCAACCCTTCAACCTCATCACCGTTAAACTCTTCATCACTCAATGCATTGAGCAATTTTACTGCCTGATTTACTGATTCATAGATTTCTTTTTCTTGTCCATTGTGGAGGTTAGCCTGTGACGTAGAACGCAGCTTGTTTATGCAGAGTAGACAAAAGACGTTGATGTAGCAACACAGAATGTTTCTCTACAGGTGCAAAATTACCTCGGATTTAGACATATAACGTCGGCCAGCTCTTACCAGGTTCCAACAGCCTCTGCTTCAAGGAGATATACTTTTCTAAAATATTGAGTTTTTACGTAAAAACCTGTGGAGCTAACATTAGCAGAGTATGTTAGCACACTAGCGTTAGCACGTATGGTGAACGACTAATCATGCTGTCTTTGCTTTTTAATGATTATAACACATAAGACCTACCCCGCTGCTGAATCAGTTTGACATCATGGATATATCATTCAAACGCATATTGTAGACCCTCTGTTTATCTCTGACATCACTTTTTTATCTTCCCAAAATTGAGATAATATATATTCGAGGAGTGCAGTTAGCGACAGTGTGGGCTCCGTGCTAGCTCTGACAGCTTCACAGAGTAGCAACAGAGTATAGCAAAGGGTCAAATGATGAAAATGACTGCATTCTCTCAAGGGAAACATTTTATAGATTATAGGTATAAATGTAATTTTTATTTTTTGAATCTGGCTTTATCTTAACAATTTCTGAAAGATGGGGATGCTACTAAACACACTTTTGAAGATTATTTTGAAACAGACAGTTACATTTTACCCGTTGGTGGTACTTTGCAGCTGACTTTTGCATTAGCTCTCTAAATTGACTCTGAAAATTAGGCCAAAGCGATAAAACAACAACAAAAAAACTGTTAAAGGCAATACTCCCAATTGTTAAGCTTCACAAAGTTCTAACCCCAACTCACACACACATGCACACACCTACACACACACATAATTGGATCCTACACACTGCTCACAAGGGGGGGACCCATCTGGAGGGGATGTTTATGTGTGTCTGTGTTTGTGTGTTTGTTATAAGGTACATTTCTCTTCCAGTCCACCCTTAGGCCCTGGGCAACATTTGCTCCCATCCATCAGCCAGATGAGCTGTCCTTTTAACATTGCTGACAGCATCAAAAAAAAACAACCAAAAAAAAAAACTCAGTCTTTATATTTATTTGTAGATTAAGACCCAAATCAATAACCCCTTTGGAGATGAAGGGTGCTGTTGCTGATGGAAACAGATGGCTCTGAAATCAGAATTTAATCATGACAACTTTGGATTTCCTCAACAAGGAAAAAGATCCCCTTTACTCAAACTGCGCAGTCATCACTTTTGTCATTATATACATGTATATGTGAGTGACCGACAGAGATGTACACTGTGATACACATAACAATGTGAAAGCAGAGGATGTATGTTTGTATTAATGTGTTTGGTACTTTGTCTGCAGTGGATGTATACACCTCTCTGCTGGATATCTGGTCATGTGTGTATTTATTGTGCTTTTTCAAATGTTAACTTCCACACTCTATTGTCGAGTACAGCGGCTGTTGTTTGTGCTCAGCCTTCACTGTAAAGGATTATTTCTTATCCACGTGATTTCTCTGCAAATATGTCTGTAATGGTGTTTGTGTGGGGTCCAATTGTCCAAATATCGTTAATAAGATGTTTATAAGCACTGCATGGTAAATGTCTTTGCCAGTTAAGGCATACAACTGCTGTACAAGCTTGAGAGCCCACATTACCAAACATTTGAATGAAAACACTTTAGATATTAAATATGTCAGTGAAAAATGTGATGCAGCGTTTTGACAAAAATACCATGTGTATGACTTTTGGGCTAATTTTCCAGCAATTTTTAAACATATCGGGTTGGCTATTTTTCGCTTTGATTTTTTCGATTTGTGAGGACATTAAGCAGCAGCATAGATGACCGAGATACATATGACACAGGCAATAGTGACCAGATTGAATAAATGCATTTAAAAACAGGCAGATAGCACATCCAGTTCCTCAAGAGTACCAAAAGATTTGAAAACATTCAAAAGGCCAGCAAGGAAAACAAGTTGTGTTGTTTACAGGATCCTTCCCACAGCATGACTTCAGATAAGCGTACAGTGCATGTTGGGCCAATCCAGTCCCACTTCAAATATAGCCCATGCCTGTTTTTTAAAGGTAATTGCTGCATGTTATTTCATTTCCTGATCACTATAGCTTCTAATAAAAGGAGGAAATAGCGTGGTGTCAAGGAATTACAGGATATCTTCATAGCCATAAAATGCCTCTCATTTTTTTCCTTTAAAAAAAGCTATTGCCCACCCACCATGCCAGGCCATCCACACATTTCCACCTCAGTGGTGCACGCCAAACAACTTCTCTCCACCCTGCAGGCAACAGTTGCTGATGTGCCTCTATTTCCATCCTGATTCCCATTTGCTTTCAAGTGCCACTACTTCCCATATCTATACGAGTCTGTCCATCTCCCTAGGGGGTACACACATCTCCTGAGCCTTCCTCTATTCCTCCCCCTGTTCCGTTTCACCAGACACTTTCTTAAAGGTCAGGTACCTACAGGGCCGTAAAGATGGAGGGAGGTGGAACGGGGTGATGAAGTCGTGGCTCCAACTCGTAAACAGCCCAACCACAACCTGAAGGACAAATGATGCAATGGTCAAGTGGATTCAGCCATAGCAAGCATTAACTAACATAGATGCATGGTTTGCCTGGCTGTCAGGCGTATGTGTGATATGATTTGACTGCATAGTGAGGCCACTTGTGCTCACAGGTTTGCATGTTTGTGCGTGTATGTGCTCACTCATGTCAAATGGGTACGATTTTTTCCCGTTGAAGCCACTGAAGAAGAAGCAATGAGAATAGAAACAACAATATAAGAGCCCTGCAGTGAATACCACCTTATGTAACAATATTTGTAAACACAATTATTTTGTGCTGACTCAATTATATGCTATTATTATATGTTAGACTGCATTTTATTGGAAGGTGTTTTTAACATATTGCCCAATTTACTCACATATACATGGGTGTAAAGGTTAAATGTGATGAACAACTTAAATAAATGTAAACTGAGACAATAATACCAGAAACATCAGCTTCAAAAAGTATCATTGGGCTGAATCAAAACATATTTGACACAGTGTGAACAATAGTTATAACATGCTGTTAAGATTTTATTATACCTGGATTGCATACCTGGAGATACCACTTGTGATTACGCTTCTACCACGTAGATCTGTGGTGTTTTCTTTGGTTCTTCTCTACCCGGTGACTCTATGCATTCCCCTTGATAGCATGAAATTATTTTCCAGCATCTCTCTATTGGCATCTATTCCTTTTACAACCCCTCTTTGACCTTGTATCTTTTGTTTTATCCTTTCAGCTCCCCCTCTTTACACAATAGTTATCCTCTTTATCATTCCATTCACCCCCTTCGTCCCATTGCATTTCCACATATACAGCTCTGTTCTATTTACCATCGCTGCCTAGTTTCTATCTTCTCTCTCATCCCTTCACGCCCTCCAGCCAATTTCCCCGCAGCCCCCTTTCCACCATCTAGTTTTCTCTCTCTATCACCGCTGATCTACCTTTCATGCTGGGCTCCTACACGGTCTGATGCCCTCCCCCTGTGTTTATGCTGTATGTGTGTTATTTGTATCCCCTACCTGCCATAGTGAAACTCGTTGCTTTGTGTAAGGCCCCACCTGCCCCACCCAAACCACTCACTATGCCGCCTGTCACAGGGACCAGGCCACTGAAGATTACACTTCACTGAGCAAGTAGCCTCTCTGCAGGCCCTATTCCCAGAAGGTGTGGCTAATGCAGCCTCATATCACCGCACCCCCGTGCTTTCTCTTCATGTTTTTTATTTAAAAACACAATCTGGTATGTGAAGAGTGGTCATCTCTATTAAATGCAAATTGTGTGATTTTTTTTTTTGTCACCCTTTTGTATTATGGGTTATTATCGCCCGCAGCCCACACGCTGTATGTCCAATGTCTATATAATTTCTTTCTTGCTTTGCTACATGTCATGTTATGGTAATGGTGTGTATTGTGGAGGTGACCTGGTTAAAGGTCACATGGAGAAGGTCTGTGGCCTCCGTAAGCCAGCGCTCAAGCTGTGTTGGCCAGTTGGGCAGGGCACCAAGGTTCTGCTCCCTGACATCACCCTGTTACCCCCTCTCTTTGTCTTACAGCCGAAGCCTGAAACACTTTAGAGGACACTGTGTTCCTTTACAGCCTCACAGATGGCAAGCACTTATCTTCATATTGAACTTCCTCGAACTGAACCCATGAATCTGGTGAACTTGATGTTGCTTAACAGATGTTGAGCAATGCAGCTGAATCAATTCATGCTCTGCCAATACATTTGAACTTGAATCAACTGGTTGAACTTAATGTTACTTCATGACTTTGAAAATCTTAAATTCAGATATATTTATCTCTGAGTCAGCATTGTCAAAGTTTTATATTCAACCATGTTTTTTCTATGCATCATTCAAGGGACTAAATCTGCCATAATTTCCAGACTTATTGGTTGAGAATGAATGTGAAAGTTGTTTAAAAATATGGGCCTAACTTAAATTAGTAGTTGGCATGGAGTTAATTGTGGTATTCCCAAATCGCTGACCCAACCATTCCACCCCCAAACTGTGAGACATGTTTTCTCTTGCCCTAGCCCTACCCTAACTTGTCCACAAAGCCAATAGGTTGAAGACCCCCGACACTTCCCCTCATCCAGCACTGGAAGTTCATCACTGTTATCGTCATCTTAACAGTGGAAAACCTGGTTTATCTCATCCAGTGAATGGATGACAAATGGGGTCCAATTTTGTTGCCATCTCTCTTGCTTAAAAAGATGATTCCAGATGACCAATCCACAAAAAAGCTCAGATGGACTCAAGCAGCCAGACCACATTTTGTTCATTATTTTGGACCTCCTGGTAGCACAACGAGGTGATCATGTTGGTTTAGTTTGAAATCACAGTACAGAAGCTAAAGGTACGCTAACTTCTGTTTCACTGGAACTCTGATTGGTTTATTGCAGTAGTGACTGTACACAGAGATGGGTTGAATAGCAAGGATGACTGGAGACGGCAAAGGGAAGTGGTGGAATGGAGATCTGTTGGGCAGCACGGCCGGCCGAGGAAGCGGGGGAGAGATTGTTGGCAGACAGGCAGGCTGGCAGTCGAGCGGGCAGGCAGACAGGAATCCTGGAGAACAGGTAATAAACAAGCGTGAACTTGGAAAACATGAGAAATACTCTTCTCAAAAAAAGATACTAGAGCTAGAGGCCTTATGCTGCGTTCCAGACAACTCAGAACTCGAAAATGTCCGACCTTCTACAATAAAAGTACAATGCAATGGCACTTAAAGTGGGAGTTCCTACTTGGGAACTTGGGCAATCCATCTACCTCGACTTTACGAAGAAGCAGTTGTCTGATGTCACACAACAATGGAAGTGAACATTGTAAATGATAAACCATCACCTGAAGGCCTACCTAAAGTATATTTTCCTGTATTTGATTAAAGTAATACTACCATGATATAATAAAGCCTGTCCTGCATGTAGAGCTGTGAGAGGTGAGCTTGGAGATGTGATGAGCTGATTGCAGGCAGGTGTGCTGTTAGGCAGGGTCCAGGTGAGCAGCAGAGACACCCATGGACATGGAAGACACAAGCCGAGAGGAATACACGGGGAAACACAAAGGGGAGACAGGGCACAGACATGGCTGTGACAAATCATGTCTCCAGACTGCACCATATAAAGAGAGTCCAAGCCATCCCCGGACTTTTGGGCATCCTAATTTCTTCTGGCATACTCTCCTGTTAAAATGGGAGGCAGGATTACTCCTGTTGATTCTAGTTCTGTCCCTACAGGGACATGGCAGGGAACTCTCACTCCTCCATTTCTCACTCAAGCATGTGAGTTAAGTGAAACAGCCTTCTGGACAAGTGATTTGCCAACATCGATTGGAAAGATGCTTACTTTGACATTACTGTGGATCCCAGATACAAGATGGGCCTTTTATTTTTTTTCAGTGAGTATCATACAAATACAGCAGGGTGCAGCTTCCACGAGTCTCTGGCCAGCTCCAATATGCTGATTTGGATATGGAACTGTACAGTAATGGCTTATACTAACAGACAGGAGACTTGTGGAAGTAGGCATCAGTGAAATTGTGGCCCATTTGGGCCACACATGAGCCAGTAGTCTACCTGCCAACACGGGAGGCTTGAACCAAGATGATCTGGTTAACAGACCGTGTCTCTGGCCACATGGCTACTGGCCACTGCACTTCAAGTGCATTCACTGCGAGTGAGATAAGTAGCAAGACACTTGATACCATAAGCAACAGTACCCTGCTATTTACAAGGTTCACAAAAGGACCATAGGCCACATTATGTTAATTTTCTGTTTAAATGTGTGTCTAATAAAGGTGTTTAAAGGGCTACTGCATGTAGCAATTCATTGAAATTCGATTATAGCTCTCTCACAAGACATCTATGCTTTGCTAGTTGTAAAATGATGCAAATCTTTCCATTATGCCCTTCACATTTTAACTTTTTACATCAGTAATGGACTCTCCATCTATTTGATGCAATTTGCATCGGTGCATCCTGCAAAGTTAATTGAATTTATGCTTTTAAATTGTTATACTAATTCAATTTGTGTGACTGGGTTCTATGTGTGTGTGTGTGTGTGTGTGTGTGTGTGTGTGTGCTGGGTAATGGTTAGGCTGCCTGGTGAATGCCAAAATGTAACACTCCTCCGTAAGCCACCTATGGTACTGGTTGGGTGGTTAGAAATGACAAGACGGCAGACACCAGATGGGTTTAAATTGTTCTCCTCCTCCTCTTTTTCAGTTTCCCTCCTCTCTCTTTTTGTATTTCTGTGTATCTGTCTCTCCGTCTGTCTGCTGCCTTCATCAAGCCCTCTGTCACCACACCTTCAAGCTCAGTGCTCAAATCATTCCTCCAATACCTGTCCTCTCTTGAGTTCCTCTCATTTTGTTCTAGCTCCTTCCAGCCACCCCACACATTCACCAGATGCATAATTAAATCTTCACTGTGCCACAGTCAGTCATTTGGAATAACAAATCTTATCATGCAAAAAAGTATCTATCAAATATAACTTTACCTTTCTATATTTAGTTTGTCCGTTTAAACACTGAAGCACTGACACTCCATGATTATGTTGAAGTCACATGATCAGGATAAAAGGTAATTACAAGTGTTTTAAAATTCAATGGGATCACTGAAACAGAGCAGGTACATACTATAAAGAAGACTGATCACTCATTTCTCAGGGAGATTTGTTGGAAACCTACTACTACACTTGGAAAATGTATAAGCTCCCAATTGGAGCAGTGCAGTTTAAAGGTGCTTTGAATGAAATTCTGAAATAATTATTATGAATGAAATATATGCAATAACCTCGAACATGCATTATAGGCATTTGCAGCCAGTACACCGGCTATGTAAACAAAGCAAAGAGAGAGAAGCTTGGATAACATCACACACCGAGGGGGAGTGAATTCATTCTCTGCTCAGGTATATAACTTCACTATATCTTTACATAGCAAGGCTTTGTTTGCTGCTGTATCAATGCTCTGAATCCCCCATATTACACCTTAAAGAAATGATTCTTGTCACTGCTCGTCACCTAGTTGCAGGTGTAACTATTGGGAACGCTGAGACAGATCACACCTCTGGCTCCCTTTTGCAGGGTTTGCCATGAAGTAGCAGCAGTAACAATGCAGCATCATCTAGCATCTGGAACGAACAAGTGCGAACGAGTCGTGACAATTCTCATACACAATGACCTTTATTTATTTTATTGTTTATGACATTTCTATGGCGTACTCCGTGATGAAGCTGCAGAATTCATGGTCTTGATTTATCAGGCCTTTTCGACGTTTGAAATGTGTGCAGCAAAATGTGCACATCAAATAAGCAGATTATTGATGGGGTTAATCAGAATATCAGACAAACCTGTGAGGCGAAGTCCTACCCAACCCATTCTTGGCTAAACTCATCTGTGAATGATTGACAGCATGGCACCACACAACATTGTCTGCTCATCCACACACATCAGTCACATCATTATTTGCTGAAACAGTGCCGAGTGGGTGGTGAGTGTTGTTAGTCGTCTCCAGCTGGAAAAAATAAAAAAAATAGAATAGACATGTTCAGACAGGCAACAATTGTTGCCACCCTGGCACCACTGCTTTCACAGTGTAGTCAAGTGGAGTTTTGAGATTTCAGGGGCAGGGACGGAGAGTGGCTGTTTTCTCCCCCCTTTTCATCTTTTGACTGTCTCATGTGATTGGCTTTCTGACAGCAAACATTGCCACGGATGCAGGCAGGAAAGAATCCACAGGTTGCGCCAAATGCCGGCGAGGTGCAGAGTTGCCATGGCAAGAAAAATCTTCTCGCCCAAGAATGAATGCAAACGTGCTTAGAAAGCTTAGTGTCACAGTTCATACCTATTGCTCACATTATGCTGACATCTTTGCAAGTGATGGTGTTCACTTATTTCACAGCTCGTACTAACAACATCATCATGTAGGTGATGCTCATGTTAACCGGCACCACCGTGTGCAGAATGACACTATTGCTTTGTGCATGGGGGTCTGCAGTTCACTTGTGAACATGGAGATCTATGCTTGCATGAGAGATCGCCAATCAACATAACCAATTTAAGCAGTTTCCAATTTGTGCCATTTAATTTGTGCTCCTCTTGTATTTGCAGTATGTATTTTTCTTATTTGTCATTATGCTGTTGTGTACTTTGACAATGTGGACACCCATGTGGATGTCAAGGGTAGTAAAGCATACTGAATTAAGTCTAATTGATTTAACTGTAAGGGAGATGTGACATTAATTATTCCTATCTTGACATGGAAACATATGGCAGCAATCTTAACTGTATTCATAGCTCAACTTGCAACAGATCAAATCTAAGATGTGACAATAAAATAATGTATTTTCGACTGACAAATGAGTATTGTACAGCCAAGTAAAACAATCTTTCTCTTCTGCTATAGTGAAGAAGTTAAGGTCAGTTTCTGATGACGCACTTTTTATAGTGCAGCAATTAAATGCTGCATGAAGAGATGGACCAGCGTTGGTGTCCAAATGTCACTGTTGTAATCACAGGCAAAATATACTTGTAACAACAGAAATGATTATGCCTTGGTCTGTGATGTTACTTTATGTGACCTCTGCTTTTGTCTCTGTTGGACAGAATCTCTGTTCTATACATGGGAAATGTGAAAAAAAAGTCAAGACTTTACATTAAGATTAATCTTATTTTGGCAGGTACAGTCCCTGATTCTTCACTGACAATGGGTCTATTTCAAAGCACATTGTTGCAGAATCACAGGTGTAATAAGATGCTCTGTTCAATGAAAGTGTCCCAGTAGGAAATACCAGTGAGCTAGCAAGCCCAGAAGCAGGGCCTGGGAAATGGAACATCTTAATAAAATGCCATTTTTAAAGTTATTAATTACGCCTGTGCTTTACACTTTTAAGATTGTTACAGTATGTTGGCAAGCCATGACTAAACTCCTGAAGCCAATGCTTTTGGGCTTCTCAGGGAAAAGTTATTATTTATTTTTTTCAGCTTGAGGCCTTTTTAGATAAAAGATTTTGCAGTGTAACAGGACTATGTTCATGACATGTTCACCTCCCCCCCCAGACAGAAAAGGCTTGGGGCAGATTTTGTAAAACAATGATTTTCTCTTTTATATCCTTGATTTAAATCTTTAATAAACGTATTGTTTTCGCCTGAATGAGCAGCATGTCCTCATAAGTCTAAATGTCACCCCAGTGAGATATCATAATTAATAGTAACATTAGTCAAAGCATTTTAAATGGGAAAGGAGTCACTTCAAGAACATTTTGAAATGTCCTTCTACAGCAGCCCTGTTGATGGATTCATGCATTTCACGATCGACGAGTGGGAGCCCCCTATCACCTGGGACAGCATTTGGCAGACTAACTAGGCACAAGCAAGGTTCTGTATGTAAATGAGTAAGTAAGCATGCTACCAGAGGGTTTATATTTCCAAAGCTATATTCCAATTTAACCTTCAATTCTTGGTGTTTGTTGGGACTTTGGCTACTTGATACTGTCCTTGGTGTCCAGAGTGCTGCTGGTTACATTCTGCCTGGACCTTAACTGTATTCACTTGCCATCCCAAGGCTGA